CCGACAGCCGACAACATGGGACGCAAACATAAAAAGCAAATCCACATGGAGCGACCCGCAGCACCCGATATTAGGCTTGCATTCCAGAGGCCTACACAGGCGCGGCCCACCAAGATGGCGCCGGAACCGCAGAGTGAGTTAGAGACCTCTGAAGACTCCTAGGAAGAGAGGGACTCCCAAGCCTCACTCCCAGGCCCCACTCACAGGTCTGATTCGGAGGAGGATGACTCCCCATCCACAAAAGGGGACATCAGAAAGACAAAGACAGGTCTGGAAGGCCGATTTAAAGGAGACCCAAGCTGAAATAGGGGTCTTACAGCAGAGAGTCCAGGAGGTGGAGACCAGAGAAAAATCCAGAGATAACCAACTCCAAGACAGCAAGCAGCAACTGGACTCAGACACCCCACTGATACTATCCACCTTCCGGGTGCGCAAATCGCCAGCAGCACCCGCTAGTGCCCCCAGAGACACAATAGCTACCACCAGAGACATAGCTGCGAGAGCTGCCATCAGCTCCAGACCATTGGGGTCGGTGAAATTTGAGGGATGCGAGGTGACCATGTACAGTGACCTCCCTTTTGCAGTGCTTGCCGCAAGGAGACAACTGGCATCGGTCACTAAGAGACTGAGAGAACAATCGGTCCGTTACCAATGGGGCACAGATGGTTCACTGATGGTGCAAAAGGGCACTGACGTATTCACTTTGACCTCAGGGGAAGACCCAGAGATGTTCCTAAAAAAGCTAGGCATGTTAGCCAATGGACACAGCAAGCAGACTGAGAAACGCAATACTTAGGTATTATAATAATGTATTATAATAATGTTTTTCATGTGTATATATGTTTATATGGTCCGTGGGAGTTTCTTCTTACTCCTAACCCACTACTCCATGCTTATGCCCTAATTACCTGACTTCACATATATAGAATAAGTCAGCAAAGAATGCTTAAATCACGCAACCTCATTAAGCAGGGGTCTCCGTATAAAAGGTAGAAATGTGCAATTTGGTTCCTCATTCCTCACCATGCTACCGTACATATTTCACTGACACCGTGATTAGTGCCATGTTTGTAGCCCAACGAAATGCTACTTGATCCTGTTATAACATATACAATAACCCATATAATGGAAAAATGTATACTGTGTGTACAAAACCCAATAAAATACAAATTAAAAAAAAAAAAAAAAAAAAAAGAGTAGATCCAGGGCCTTGAAGAGTACAGAAAAGCGCCTCTAGCGGCTGTCAGTGAGACAGCCACTAGAAGCTGGATTAACCCTTAGTGAAACATAGCAGTTTCTCTGAAACTGCTATGTTTTCAGCTGCAGTGTTAAAACTAGAGGGACCTGGTACCCAGACCACTTCATTGAGCTGAAGTGGTCTGGGTGCCTATAGTGGTCCTTTAAGGACTAAGTAAATGTTAATCATTTTAAAGTAAGTAGTAAAACCGTTTGAGAACAGTTTGGCAACTTACCTGGGGTCTGCTGTGATATGAGGCTGTAGTAGGGCATAGGAGCAGTGGTGTGTGCGAGTGATGCAGTGTGTGTGAAAGGTTCAGTGTGTGTGTGTGTGGGGGGTGTACTGAGTGAATGTGTAGGGTGTGTGGGGCAATGTGTGTGTATGTGGGGCTGTATATGTGTGTGTGTTGGCATTGTGTGTGTGTGTGGGGCAATGTGGGAATGTGTATGGTGTGGGGGAAGTGTATGTGTGTGTGTGTGGGGCAAAGTGTGTATGAGGAGGGCAGTGTGGGGGGGCAATGTATGTATGTGCATGGTGTGTGGGGACAGTGTATGTGTATGTGTATGGTGTGTTGGGGCAGTGTATGTATGTGTGGGCAATGTGTGTGTGTGTAGGGTGGGCAGTGTATGCAGTGTGTGTATATTTGGGTGGGCAGTGTGTGAATATATGGGTGTGTGTTTGTGTGTGTATATGGGTGGGCAGTGTGTGTATATATATATATATATATATATGGGTGGGCAGTGTATGCAGTGTGTGTGTGTGTATATATATATATATATATATATATATATATAGATAGATATA